GTATTTGCCTTGCGAGCTCTACATCAACTTCTTCGGCTCGCTTCCCAAACGGCTCCTCCATGCTTGCCACCACTGATCGGTAAAGTCAAATTCTGGGAGATGTTTGTTTGCTGTAGTTGGCGAGAGTCATGACTATGATGCTCGCTCAAGTGTTGTATCAGCATACTTAGCGACCGAGGTGGAGGAATTTTGCCATAAATTTTGATGTTTTTGCCTGGAGGGACCAGACCAATTTATAATAGATGCCTGATAAATCACTTGACAGACTGATAAATCTGCCCCACCGATTAACACAACTGATATGACATAATTTTAGTTCTGACCCCCTATTGCGATAAATCGGCCTGACGAAATTTATATTTTTTACACAAAAAAGATTCCCTGTGCAGTGAATGAAATTTTAATTACAATTTTGAACACTGGCGAACTGTATATTTAGTTATTTACACAAAATGATTGCTCACGCGTTAAAGTAAGTGGCATGTGCAAAGTAATGTCATTTCCATGCAAAGCATATATTTCCCACCTCGTCACATCTCACTGACAACATACAATCTATGGCCCACAAAAATTATCTAGAACCTCAAATATATGTCCTTAGATTGCATTGCTTACTAAGTGAACTGTCTCGCTGTGATCAAAGGGACTGCTTGCTTGGTCTTTATAATTATATAAAATGTCTCGAGAATAAACACCAGACGAACAAACTAAATCTTGTCGGAAAAACTGAGCTAACTTGAACCCAGTTAAGCAACCGTTGTCTAGCCTCGACCTGAACTGGACGGTATTCTTCTTATACAACCCAAATAACTCTATTGGCGTACTCTTCTTCACAATTAGGCGTGACTGATGTTTTCTTTTGATCCTTGTTAGTAAGCTTCTTCCTGATACAACATCTAGAGAGAGAATAAATATATGTTGCCTCAGCCCTCATATGTAACCCCACTATGAAAGAAATGTGGTATTTTTTTCGACAAAGGATGAAAGAAATGTGGTATGGTGCTGTCACTGCTATTTGCAAGAACCACAATAGCCAGCTGACTGGAATAACTGAATTGAACTAACTTTTATCGTCAAATAATTGATGTTCTACTGTGCAGGTAACGATTCCGAGATTACCAGGGATGTTCTCCATGAATACCATAGTTTAAGTTAGCACAGTCAGAAATTCCCAGGTTTTCAATGCTCAGCGAAGAACACAAGTTAGTGATCCCACCTTACACCAAAATGTATAGCTAAACCCTGCACAACGTGCTTGAAACCAGTTTACAAAACATCAGGGAAATCATACTCTACATCTGCAAGAATAAAATAAAACAAATCAACCTGGGAACCCAGCAATGACAGGCCAAAGCACGGGTAAAGAAATGAAATGACTGGCATGGAAAACTACATTTTCGTATATAATCGATAAGCAAGAAAGCTACATATAATATAAATTATTACATCTAATGTGGATCTTGGTGACTTCTCATTGCTCAAGCAAAAAACAATCACCATGGTTTAGTCACTTGTACTTCAAAACACATTATTTCACTGGAAAGATGGACAGAGATTGTCCATGATGAAAGTGACATTATGACATGAATGTACAAAGACAGCAAAAGCAAATTTTCTAAGCTTCCCACTAATTTTATTACTTTTAGAAAATTGAAATACTCAGTAGATGTTTGTTTTCTTCTCAGTTAAATTGAGAGAAATATCCAATGAAACTTGATGGAGCAAAATGAGGATATATGGCCCAGTGATAGTCTGCTCGCTCGAGCTCTTGGTGGAATGTACTATTGTGGTTATAAATAGTTACGGATTTGATAACAATATATTCTGTCACAGTTGCTACGAAAACTCTATGAAGGCAAACTACCAACAACACGTTCAACTCTAGAAGAAAACTGGAAATTTGGAGGGACAAAGCAAAAAGTTTATATTGGCGGCAATAATCCTCTTAATGGCATATACTCTCGGACACTCTTTTGTACTGAAGATTTAGACACCGAAACTTGAAAAGTAGTACAATCCAGAAAAAAACGATAGTGAAATTACAAACATTTAACTGAAGTTTAGGGTTGCATGAGCAACAACAATTTCCCGTGTCTCTACAGTAATACATATAAATGAAGCACTTTGGTGTAGAAACTGAAAAATATAAATTGGATCTCATAAGGCAGCTAAACAGTGGTGAGGTCGTATATACAAACTCAATATAGAAAGCATCATTTATTTTCGTCGACAAATGTCCAACTAATGATTGGAAATTGTTGCAAATCGACTTGTTTCTTGGAAATAGTGTGATGTGCAGTATCAATCAGCTAACACTCACAGTCGGGGCCTACTTGACCAGCTTTCCAGCAAGCGTCACAACTTCCGCATCTTGGACGCGTGGCTGAGCGTGGCAGTACTCAGTCGCGGGTTGAGCGCTTCATCAGAATTGTTTGAAACAATAAGATATCAAGCAGTCTCCCTCTAATTATTCAAGGAATGCCCATTGAGCAGTTAATACAAATTACACATCAAACTACAGTGCATTGGTAGTATATGACAAATAAAGGCGCGTGCATTATCTGGATGACAACCATGCTATCATATTCATGAAGCGGGGAAGATAACATATGAAATCTGAATTCACATCATTATACCATTTAGGCTTTGCTTTCTTCTTTCTACCACGTCCGATCCTGTCTTTAGCTCTTCCACAGGTTCCTCTTCATCTTTCACTTCAACAACTTTCTGCTGAACCAGAAGAGAACACCACCAATGCCAACAACCAAGATGTAATAAGAAAAAAGTTGTTCAGTACACACCGAGAGACATAGCCAACATACTCTACGATCTGATGCATCTTTTCAAGTGGAAATTCAGAATAGTTTGTCAGCAGCTCGTCCAACTTACTGAACCATGCCTTTAGATTAAAAGCCTTCTGCCTTGTAGCTTCATTCTTTCTGGCCTCCTCCTCTTCCTCTACATTGAGCTGGGCCTAACACAAATACAGCGATGGGGAATGGCAGGGGCTGGTTTCCTGTATCGATCACTCGGTTTGGCCGTTCGCTAGATTGGTGATATTTCTCCTGATGACCGCGACGAAGCTATCGATCCATCAGGACGAACGTAAACTGATAATTTGAACTTTGTACCATTTACTCACTGATAAACACCATGTGCCGGACGACAGTGGCATCCAAAAAGAAATCATTTGCCTTCATGTATGAGAAGTGCAGGGCATACCTACAAATTTCTGCATCATGCTCCAAGGCCCACTATGATTTTCAGACTAAAAGGACATGTAAAGTTTTTCATCCAGGAACTGAATTATGCCAAGTCTAGACGTCAATTCTTCACTTCAAGAAGAACCAACACAAAGGGAGTTCAGCAAAGATTCTTTAACGTTATTAATTAAAATAGCTAGTAAATATAGTTAGACCAACTAACCTCTGTCGTACGGACTATCAACTGGGCTGCAAATCAACATGAGCACACCATGATCCAAAAACAATGAAGAGTAAAGAAAACAAACTATGGCACCATCTAGCATTAATGCATCATATCCAGAAATCATAGCACGGGCAGACGGCCGCAAATTTCGGCGTGCGTCACGGGCTTTGGGCGGAGCAATTTCGGGCGGTACTTGGGCGCCAGCAGGAGGACGGAGTTGGAGGGGGGGGCTGGGGG